ATGTGAAGCCGCCCGAGTTCTGCCATGAAGAGTTGCGCGGGCGCAAGTGGAGATCATCATAGTGAAGGATTCTCACCCTGTGGTTTTCAGGCAGCTCTATACAGAGAATAAAATCGTAGCTGTCGGTGTAGATTGCCTGTTCCTCGGCAATCAGATCGACAAAGGGATGGTACCACACAACTACAAGGAGGCCACCGTTGCTCGTCATAGTGCCAGACCCCAAGTGACTGTATTGTAGTGCAGTGCTGGGACACAAACAATACTGAGACCTGGGTTCAATGGTACCATTCGCTCGACATAAAGCCGAGCGATTCCAATTGTTCTCGTCAGTCGAGAGTACTCTCGACGCAAAACGCTACAATGTTTTGTCATTCGCCGAAATTGGCATCAACAGCAGTTTAGTTGCACTGGGTTTGAAAAATGCCGAAAGGTACCAGAGGTCCAAACGCTTCGGGGGCCCTGGGAGCGGGTCATTGGTGAAGGAGGGATTTACTAACTTGAAGCCAAAATATTACTTTTTTATCTATTCACCTCTTGTTTTATTCAAATAAAACCAACGGCACTTTTGAATGGGATGACCTAATAGAAGGCGTGCGCATCCCAAAAGGGATAGATAATCCGGCAAAATTTTACTACTTAATCTTTCTACTTTATGTTTTATGCAGCTGGATCAGTAGTTTTGAGGTACACAGAGATGTGTAAGGGTTTTTACAGATTTGGCCAGTTATTCTCGATAAATCCAAAGATAAGAAGGTTACAGTCCGTGCAGCAGTTGGTGAAGCTCTGGATGCTATTTCGGAGGCGGTAGGTTTTATTTGACTCTGGAATTTTCTTCGTACATAAATTGCATAGCATTTTCCATCTTTCAGTGTGCTTCTGACCGCCTCACAAAAGATCTGTGTGAACATCTAGTGAAGCCCAATCCTCAATCTAAGCAATGCCTGTGCGGGTTTTTAACCCGATATTTTGTCAGGCAAACAACTCCTCAATTAGATTTTGCCAAAGCCGTCTTGCCCCCTGTAGTAAAGGTTTGTCGTTAAAAGATCTCTTAGTACTCGAAACCTCCTTACTTAACCATTGGACCATGTTCAGCTAGCTTCTGATAGCGACCCGTCGGTTCGTGACGCGGCTTGTCAAACTCTTGGATCAGCTCGTAGGCTCCTTGGAAAAGGTCTAGACGCTTTTTTGGCACCAATTATTACCGAAAAGCCTAAACTGGACAAGGTGAGGTTCGCTCTGCTCATTTTTGTTTATTCTTTTTTATTTGTTGACAGACTTTTCACTGGTATTTCGTGGATGAAAATCTGTTAACTTTTTATCGTGTTCCGATCGTGCCACCAGTTCGGCTAGGTGGGGGCACCAAATGATGTTCAGCGAAGTTTGAACCGGCCACCTTGTGAAGTATCTTGACCTTGTGAAGAATCTGAGAGCAATCCGGTAATCTTCGTGACAGAAGTGGCTCATTTGTGCCGTTACGCAGCTTGCCCTGAGTTTACAGTTTATAGTAGGATTGTTATCTGTCAGTCAGCATGTACTAGCTAGGCGAACTTGCGAAAGTGCAAAATGCCCCTCCAAGCGGAACAGCAGTTGAATTGTTCCAAGCGATGGCGATTTTGTTTGATTTTTGTTAGCAGTAACATTCATTAGTCTACTTAAGGTGGAGGAATACTGTGTCGAAGCGGCGAAACAGCATGATGAGTTTCTTGCCAGCCGCCCGCAACGTGAACGGTCAAGTGGTCATGCATCTGGTGATGCCGTGGAGACTACGGTGAGTATAGCTGTGGTCTTATGTGAGCGATCTGGTTTCGTTTACCTGAAAACGACGTCACCCCAAGCAGAATAGATGAAACGAGCGGAATATTCGGTTGTGAAAATCAAAACTTGTCTCGATTTGGTAAAAATTTCCTCTTAAGACAGAAGAAGTAGGAACATCTGCCCCAACTCAACCGAAAGACGTTGACCCATGGACGTTGATGGATCCGACTAACGTTGTGGAGAAACTGAGGAAAGACTTCGATGAGCTGGTGGGTTCAGCTGGCTGGTTGATTCATTGGATTTTGATTTACCGAAACCTTATTGTTACAGATAGCATCCAAAAAGTGGCAAGAGCGGAAGGAAGCCGTGGATGGCATGATATCGATAATGGAAAGCGCACCACGTGTGGAGATGTCACCTGAACTGCTGTTAGTTATGGGGACACTCGCTAAGGTGCGGGTCTATGTAAACTCCGAATATTGTACGGCTAAAACTAATACTTGCTTGCTGGGGTTGACCTACCTAGGATCAGTGAGGGATGTGAAAACTTCTTCTTTATACGGCCCCATCTTTATCTGCTAATTAAGCACGACCCGACTCGAAACGGTAACATCAGCTATCGGAAAAAAACTCACCAACCTTGATGAAACCGACCCTTTCCCCGAGAGACCAGCTATACTCCTTGGTGCACATTTCACAAATAAAAGTACACCTGGGGAGTGAAAATTTTCGAGCGGCCTTCTTCTATTTTTATATAGTTCTATTTTCATATGGCTGAAAAGTGCTTTGCTCTCAAATAGATGCAATGCGAATTAGCCCGAAACATTTTGAGTGGGCATTCTGACCCGGTTTGCCCTTTACCGCCTCCTCCTCTTCGAATTTCAGACCAAATTTTTTAATCATTTTTCGAAAGTGGATTTTGCTGGAATTTCGTTCCAGGGTGCAATGTTGCCACCTGAAGATAACTTATTTATTCAAATCGTAACCGCCTCGCATCGGCGCCAAAGCAGCTCAAAAAAGCCAGATTTGCAGAAATTTTGAACAGGCGTAAGATCCACGCTGAAACACAGACACCACTTCCACTCAACGCAAGTACGATTGGCGCTACGGGCATCTGTGACGCGGGCGTTGGGTATGTTCGTGCCAGGAAGATGTGATATTCTTGTGTAGGGATTACGATCTATAGTGAGGCAATAAGGGGTAACCAGTGCCTTTAATGATGTTCCTGTCTAGGGGGGGGGTCGCACTACGCGTGTGTAGTGCTTGGCCAAATCCGTTCCTGGGGAAGTTCCCATCACTTTTCTGAATTTAAGAGTGAGGCAGTGAAGTGCGAATAGTGCCTCTTTGATGTTTCTGTGATATCCCTATCCAGGGCCTCACAATACCTCTTGGCAGTGTTTGGCCAGATCCACCCCTGGGAAAACTTCCAATCGAATCTGGCTCCAATTTTAAATAGTGAAGCAACCATGGGTGCCTTTACAATTTTAACGCCGCCATACATTTATTGTCACGGGTTTTTCCTGTTTTCCTACCATTTCCAGCTCCTTCTCTCAGGGCCGTTTACAAATCCTCAGCTTCTCAAATCATGAAAATCGTACTCATTACCAATCGATAATTTGAGAGAATTATAGGTATTGGAGAAAGATGTCAACATAAATG